GGTTTTAAATATCCCATACTAGTTTCAGACAATGCCACAGCTTTAGGATGAGGAAATAGCTTCACGGAGATAATGGCTGTTTTGAATCACAAACCAAATGGAGTGTTCATCATGAACAGAAGGTCTTGGGGATCAGGGCTTCTTAATGTGACACCTAGAGTTCCAACACAAAGATGTCATGGGGAGACTTTATCTGAGTTCAAGGCCAACGCTAGGAAGAAGACCTGGCCATCTAATTCGCTTTGACAGTTCAACAAACATTTGTTGGACCCCTGTCAGGTGCCAGGATCAGGGCTTCTTTCCAAGTCCTCTGCTCTCCCTGTTCCTCTTATCCTGAGGTCTACTGCCCTCCTTGTAGCAGGTGGTCAAACTGGATGCGGGGCTAGACACACAAATACTGGCTCTAAGAAAGAAAAAAAGGAAGCACCTAAAACATAAAAACAGAAAATGTTAGAATAAAAAAAGGACATATCAGGCAAATATTAACTAAAAGAAAGATGCTATAGCTACATCAATATAGGTAAAACCTTCTTTAAAGCTAAAAGCACTGCTAGAGGTAAAGAAAGTTACTGAACATTGATTAAAAGTCTAATTCACCAGGAAACTGCAGCAATTTTAAACCTGTTAGAATAAATTAAGTAAAAAATTGATAGAACTACAGGGAGAAATAGACAAATCCACCACCATGACTGCAGAGTTTAGCAATCTCTTTTAGTTATTTATAGATCAAGTAGATAAAAAATTCACTAAGGATAGAGGAGATTTGAATGACACAGTGAGCAACCTTGACCTGATGTAAATATATAACTAATACTTCTTAAATCTAGAGAACTCATATTTTCAAAGGCACATGGCATGTTGTAAAATTATTATGTTTTAGGCCTTCTGTCAAGTTTTAGCCAATTTTAAAATATCTAAAACATACAAGAAATTAAGCTAGAAAACAATGAGAAAGATATAACTAGACAAGCCTGGTACTTTTGAAAATTAAAAAACACACATAACAATCTGTCAAAAAAGAAATCATAGCAGAAATTATAGATTAATTAATCATAATGAGATGCTAATGAAAATAATACTTACCTGAACTTGCGAGACGTAATTAAAGTGTCTTTGAGAAATACTTATGCTTTCTAAATGTTTATATTAGAAAAGAAGAAAGTGTGAAAATAAATTATCCAAGAGTCTACCTTAAGAAAAAGGTGAGGTGATGTTACCAAAAATGTCAGAGGAGGGTACTCCAGGGTTCCAGCCTCCAGCAACTAATAAGCCAGCAAAAACTGCCAGGATCGACTTTGACGGAAGTCTGGAATATAGTAAAATACTTACGACAACTAGGGGAAAGATAACACAGAAAGAAGTTGCTGCATTGTGGTAAGAGTGCTATGGCCTTTTAAATTGCCTGCTTGCCACCCCCTACTCTCCAGATCAGCAGTGGTCGTGAAAACACTGCACCCCTGATGCAGGTTGCTTGTGCCACAGCGAACAATACAACCCTTATTTTCAAAGAGCTGTGGTGGTTTGTTTTGACCTGTCTGGCAGCCACCTCAAGGACTGGTACAAAGCGTGCCTTTATTTCATCTGACTCAGCGCATTCCCAGCACCGAAGAGTCTCCCATGTGGCACTTGCTGAAACCATTTAAAGGCAAAGGTGTTGAACACAGTAGCACAGAGCAAGGGAAAATGGTAGGGACAAGCAAGAGACAGATCAAAAAGTCTTGATAAGGATGAGGTTGGGAAAGAAGATATGTGGTGGAATAAGGGCTTTTAAAAGTACCTATGTATACAGGTGAATCAAGAAGTTCATGTATGTACTCAGGGCTGGACGAATTCTCAGGAAAGTCCTTAGAAGATCCTAAGCTTTCACTTCAGGGAGTCTCATTGGGAGAGGAGACAGAAAGAGAAAGGGATAGAAAGAATATTTGAAGAAATAATAGCCAAAACCTTCCCAAATTTGAAGACATGACTCTATAGATGTAGAAAGTCCAATGAACTCCAAGCAGGATAAACATAGAGATCTACACTAAAGACACTTTACAGCTAAACTGTTGAAAGCCAAAGACAGGGAGAACCTTGAAAGCAGTAAAAGAGAAGTGACTTGCCACAAGGGATTCTCCATGAGATTAACAGTAGGTTTCTCTTCAGAAACCGTGGAGGCCAGAAGGCAGTGGGATGACACATTTGAAGTACTGAAAGAAAAAACTTTCAATCAAAAATTCTCTATCCAGCAAAATTGTCTTTTAAAAATAAAAGAGAAATTAAGATATTCCTAGATGAAAAATGGAGTACCTGACAAGTAGACATGCCCTAGAAGAAATACTAAAGGGAATCCTTCAAGCTGAAATGAAAGGCCGCTAGAGAGCAACTGGAATCCATTGGGAAAAATTAAAGAACAACAGTAAAGTTAGCTACATAGGTAAACATAAAAGCCAGTGCTATTGCATTTTTGGTTTGTAACTTTTCTTTTTTGTTCTATATGACTTAAAAGACAAATGCATAAAGCAATAATTATAAATATATGTTAATGGACACACAATGTATAAAGATGTAATTTGTGACAATTACAACAGAAAAGGGGGTAGAGCTGTAAAGGAGGAGGGTTTTTGTATCCTGGTGAAACTAAGTTGGTATTAATTCAAACGATTATACAGATTATAACAGTTATAAAGTTAAGATGTTAATTTTAATCCCCAGGGTAACACTAAGAAAAAAAATCTTAACTAAAAAAATACAGAAAAAATGAGAAGAACTAAACACTACAAGAAAACAATCATTCACAAAAGGTGGCAGTAATAAAGGAATTCAGGAACAAAAATCTATAAGCTGAAAACAAATAGCACAATGGCAGAAGTAAGTCTGTTCTTGTCAGTAATTACTTTAAATGTCAATGGTCTAAACTCTCCAACTAAAAGGCAGAGATTGGCAGAAAGGATAAAAATCATTATCCAACTATACGCTGTTTAAAAGAGATTCACTTTAGACTCAAAGGCACAAACAGAATGAAAAAGATACTCCATGCAAACAGTAAGCAAAAGAGAGCTGGTATGGCATTACCAATTCACTCATTCAACAAATAGTTATTAAATGCCCACTATGTGCCAGGCACTGTTCAAGGCATAGTGAATAAAACAGATAAAAATCTTTCTCTGATGGAGCTTACACTCTGGTGGGGGGGTGTAGAAAACAAACATCGCATGTGTTGGACTTAGGAAATTTGAGTTCAAGAGAGAACTCCAGGATGGAGATACAACTTTGGGGATCATCAGCATATAAATGTTTTGAAAGTCATGAGACAGGATAATGCCATCAAGTGCAGATCAAATCATTGATCTCAGAATTGAAAACGTTCTATTGATATGAGATCAGAAATAAGAGAAAGAACAAATAAAAGAGACTGAAGAGGAGCAGTCTGCAGAATAGACGCAGAACCAGGAGATTTTGGTGCCTTGAAGCCAAGTAGAAAAGTGTTTTCAGGAAAAGAGAATGATCAGTTATGTATAATACTGCTGTAAGTTCAAATAAATTGAAGCTTGATAATTGGCTCGTAGGTTTAGAGTATGAAGGTAATAGAGGACATTTAAACCAAAGCAGCTTTACTGATATGGTAGGACAAAAGCCTGACTGATTGATTTGAATGGGAATGGGTGGAGAGGAATTGGTTGCAACGAATATAGACAACTCCTTCAGGAAGTATTCCTCTAAAGGGTGGTAAAGAAATAGAGTGGTAGCTGGAGGGATAAGTTGGATGAATAAACTCTTTTTTGATTTTTTGTTTTTCAAGTCGTTGAGAAACAACAGCATGCTAAATGTTGATAGTTAGTATCTAGCAGAAAGGGGAAAACTTAATTGGCGTGGGAGGAAATTCCTGGAGCAATGAACCAGAGTAGGTAACAGGTACTGATATCTAAAGCATGAGAAAATTGGTTGGCCTTGGGAGCACGGAGAATTTACCCCTGTCACCAGATGGGAAGGCAGGGAATATGGATGTTGATGTTGGCAGAAAGGTATAGGATTGCAGGACAATGAGGAAGTTCCCTTCTGCTACTTTGGTTTTCTTAGTGGAATAGAAGCAAAGTCATCTGGAGGGAAGGAGAATGAAAGAGAAGATGTTGGAAGTTGGAGGAGAGAGAAGGTAAGAAATAGTTTAGGAAAGTGAGAGATGTAGTATGAAATACTGCGTTCTCATCACAAGGTCATACGAAAAAGTGCAAACATTTAAAAACATCTACAGTCTTTGGTAAATATATGATGTATTTATTTAGAGAATTCAACTAACCGTAGGGGAATAGGCATATGGTTGCTGGGCGGAATTAATGACTTATTTGAGTCCAAGTTATTAAAGTAAGGGTAGTCAGCAGCATAGTGTGCTGTCATTTTATCAGCCTGTTTTACCTAAGTGCAAAGAGATGGAAAATGAGATTTTACCAGGGTTGTGGTTTTGCCAAGCAACATGATGAAAAGAGGCAGAGCAGAGGGAATTGAGTATGTAAGAAAGATTAATTAAAAATGACTAAGCATTTAATCTGGGTAAGAAGCGGGGGAAAAGGACAAAAAATGAAGGAGTACAACACCGTACCCACAGTCAAGGAATTCAGCTTTGTGTGTAAAACAAACACACAAACAGACACTTTTATTATCTAGTATGAGGTTAACCAAAGAGAGAAGTTTCTTGGAGAAGATGACACTGGCTTGTAGCACAAAGAATGAGTAGGGTTTGTTTAGGAAGGATCAGGACAGGAAATTCCAGGCAGGGGAAACAGCATAGAGAGAGGCTTACAAGCAGTCCAGAGCTTTGGAGATTTCTGAGTAGAAAATGGTACGTTCCAATTATATATTAGATGGGTTACACTGGAGTTTAGGGAGAGAAGGAGAAGGGAGGTAGGTGATAGAAGATAAGCTAGGCAGAGGAGCAGAGATGCAGAGGACAATTTCATTATGATGTAGGATATAGGCAAAACATAGAGAATCACCCAGGGAGAGTAGAGGGAGAAGATGAGAGGCTCTAAGGGCCACCTGAAAACGCTGACAATTTAGAGGCAAGTGGAAAAAAGGAGATGAAGACAGAAGTCAGAGAAGAATGAGGGGGAATAACAAGGGTCTAGTTACAGAAACCAAGTTCAAGAGAGTTTCACAGAGGAGGGAGTGATGATCAGTGACAGGCGTGGCACAACAGTCCGGCAGATAAGGACTGCATTATGCAACTAGAAAAAGATCGTTCATAACTCACATGAGAGCAAAACCAGAACCACGATGGGCAGCGAGGGCATTGAAGACAGAGAGGGTTGGATTCTTTTGAGAAGTTTAGATGGGAAGACAGAGACTTGGAAGCTTGAGGGGGACTCGTGATAAAGGTAACATTTTGTTTCTTCAGAAGGTGAATGCTTCCACCTTTTCTGGGTTGATGGGAACACACCTGTATAGAGAGAGGATTTGAAGGTTCTAAAGAAAGGAGATATTTGAAAAACAAGGTTCTTTAAAGACAAAGCATACTTTTTGGTCAAATTGTTCTCTTGTGCCTCTTCTCTTACCATGTGAAGGATATAGCCCCAGTTTTCCCCCTGCAAGTGAAATGCGAGACATACGGAGCACACGGGAATCACAACCTAAAGGCTGGAGCCAAGCCCAGATTAGACCAGCCTACCTTCAGCTGACCTGCAAATCATGACAAAGATAAATGATTGTCATTTTAGGCAACTGAGTTTCAGGTTAGTTTATTACATAGCTCTATTGTGGAATGGATAACGTGCAAAAAGGGAGATAGTAGATGGTGAGATCAGAGGGGCATGGCGGGAGGGGAGATCATGTAAAGTCTCATAGGACATTATAGAATTTTCACTGAATGAAATGGGGAGCCACTGGAGGGTTTTGAGCAGGAGCATGACATTATCTGACATGTTTCAGAAGAATCCCTTTGGCTGCTGCGATAAGTGTCTAGGGGTGGGGATGGCAAGGGTAGAAGCAGGGATATCAGTTAAGAGGCCACTGCAAGAATTCAGACAGACATGGCTGGGACCAAGGTAATATCAGTAGAAGTAGTCAGTATTGGATATATTTGAAGGTTGGAACAGCTGGGTTTCCTGGCACATTGGAAGTAGAGTTAGAAAGAAGAGTCAAACTCCAAGGATTTTGTCCTGAGAAACAGAAGAATGGCATTGCTGTCAATTGGAATGCTGTGCTGGATTGTCCGTTACCTACCTTACATCCTTCCATCTACTTCTAGGGGACTCGTCCACATGGCAGAGGAGAATCTAGGAACTGCATTTTCTACATTTTCCTTCTCTATATGGTTCCAGGTTAGAGTTTTTCTTTCTTTCTTTCTTTTTTTTTTTTAAAGATTGGCACCTGAGCTAACAGCTGTTGCCAATCTTCTTTTTTTTTCTCCCCAAATCCCCCCAGAACATAGTTGTGTATTTTTAGTTGTGGGTCCTCCTAGTTGTGGCATGTGGGACGCCGCCTCAATGTGGCCTGACGAGCGATGCCATGTCCGTGCCCAGGGTCCAAACCAGAGAAACCCTGGGCTGTGGAAGCGGAGCGCGCGAACTTAACCACTCGGCCACAGGACGGCCCTAGAGTTTTCCAATGAGAGATTTGAAAAGTAAAAGTGAGGAGTGGCCATTACTGTCAGTAGCAGATGTGTGGGTGGCTGTGAGGTTCACAGTGGCTTCTCAGGCTTCTGGAAGAGCCTGCTTTACTTCTGCAGTTGAGACAATTCATGGGAGCTTTGCTATAGACCTTGAGAATTGCTGTAGTTGCCCAGAGGACATTTGAGAACCACCAGCTTTTGGGGGTCTTTCCTTGACTTTCTGGCTTCAATCTTCTTGATCGTTACTCTTCCAGCTTTGCTCACACTTGGGAAAACACCAATTTATCTACTATATCCATTTATTCCTATAATAATTAGAATGATACTGATTTCTTGACCAAATCTGGACTAATACAGATGGGAAAGGGTCCAAGTAGAGTAGGTTTGGGGGAAAAAGATCAAGAATTAACCTTTGGATGTGAATTGTTTGAGATATCATTTTGAGGCGATGTCTAGTACTGGGTTGTATATTCAAATCTAGAGTTCAGGAGTGAGGTCTAGTCTGGAGATAGAAACAGGAGAGTTATTAGCATGTAGATAATATGCAAAGTCATGCTGCTGTATGAGATCACTAAGAAAGTGGGTGTGGCTAGAGAAGAGTAAAGGTGGGTGGACCAAGTTCTGGGACCCAACACTAAGAGATCAGGGAGAAAACAAGGAACAAGGAAAAGAGACAGGGAAGGGGGAACCAGTGGGGCGAGAGCAAAACCTGGAGAGTATGGTGTTCTGGAAGGCAAGTCTAGAAAGTTTCTAGACTGATCAGCTGTGTCAAATTCTGCTGACAGGCTAATCAAATGACTAAAACCGAACACTGGCTATGCTTACCAAAAATATGGAAACTAGAGAAAAGTAGAAAGTTGAGAGAGAAGGAGGATCATATGTTTTATCATCACCAAAACAGCAGTCATTTACATTCTTTTTTCTACATAAGCTTTAATTTTTTGTATAGCTGGAGTTCATTATGCATATATAATTTTCCCTGTTGCTTTTCATTTACTTTATGAGATGTTTTCTATACTATTACAAATTTGTTATTAACACCATTTTAAATGGCATATTATATCTTTTGAGGAGATATAGAATATGTTATTTAACTGTTCTTTCAATGTTGGACATTTAAGTTGTTGATAATTTTCTGCTGTTATAAATAGCCCTGTGATGAAAATCTCTTGCAAAAAGCTTTCTCAGCAGTTTTAGATGACTTCCTCAAGGGAAATGATCAAAACCTTAACTACTATTTTAAAGAAATGAACATTTTTAAAGCTCTGTTTCAGGCTTTTGGAAGTTAACTCATTAAGTGTTACCTTTACAAGTCCCATTTTGTTTTCTCTGAATCCTGATTTGAGAGCTCTCACTTTTTCAGCTCTTATATTCCAATAATCACTCAATTTATTTTTTGGAGGAAAGAAGGAAGGCTGGCATGGGGCTTATGGGGAATGTTTTTGTAGGACCCAAATATATGTTCCTTTATTCATTTATTTGTTTATTCATTTATCAAAGTCAGCAAAACAGAGGAGAGGCACAGGGCTCTGGGACAGGATACAAGAGGGATGGCCCTGCTATGAACAGTGCAACAAGTTGGCCTTCATTTTAGCTTCTGTCTCCAGGGTGATCTTTTCTCTAAAACCTCCAGGGCCTCCCCATGAAGCGTGGCCTTCTCGGCCTCCGCATGTGGCTATGCATGGAGATGGGTAAGGGAACACAGTAATCCCTGGATCATGCCTGGGATTCACACCACCCTAGTGAGGCTCGGGAATGGAAAATTGGAGACTTACTGAAGTTTTAATGATTACCTGTTGTTTTTGCTTACCATGTGCATATTTCTTCTCCTGACGAGAGTATCTCATTTATCTTTCCCTCGACTAGGTCCTAATCCACATGATTTAGGTGGTGTTGACTCCCTTTCTTCCACCTAGAGTGGATTCATGACTCAGGCTTGGCCAATCGGAGTAGTCCATCCCATGGCCATGGTTATTGGTTACTAGCTCTAAGGATAATATAAGCCTTCTGCTGCCGGGGTCCCTTGTGAAGAGATCCTGCCTGAGAGAAACACTGTCTCAGAGAAAAGTACAACCATTAAATGAGGAGAGAGCAAGCAAGAGAAGAATAGGTAAGGCCACCAGAAGATTACTGAGAGTACACTTGCAAGTGGCCATGGGTTTTCGAGAAGACTAAAATCTAATAATTTCTATGGAACTTCATGGCCATTTAGATCAATTTGCTGAGAAACACCGTCCTCTAAGCAGATGATCCACCTCAATCTTAAAGAAAAGAAATGATAAATTTAATCTCAGATAGGAGCAAGATCCTCAAAATGAGATGTTGCTGTTTCGATATTGATTGCCCTTGAGAACAGGCATCCATAGTCAAGCCATTTTTTCTTGTGACTTTTGAGAGGATATAATTTCCCCAACATTAGCAAAGAATTATTTTTCTAATAACAGAGGCTTTCCTTGCTGATTGCCACTCCAAGGTTGTAGGTTTGGAGGGCAGGTTAGGATTTGAAGAGACTTCACGTTCCGGTGTATTCAAAGCTTGAAATGTGTTCAATTTGAGAAGGTCCTCCATGTTGTCCACCTTAATAAGTGTCACTTTATCCTCCAAGCTGTCAAAGACCTACATCTTGAAGTTAGATTCTTCTTGTTTCTCCGTTTCTATCAGTCAGTCGTCACCAAGTTCCATCTCCTAAATGTTTTTTGAATATACCCACATCTATTGCCATTGCTGGGTTTAGTGCAGCGTTCTCAACTCTCATCTAGCATCACAATCATCTGAGGAACTTTAAAAGATACTGATGCCAGGCGTCACCCCCAGAGATTCTAATGTAATTGATCTGGAATGGTGTTTAGGAATCTGTCGTTTCAAAATCTCCCCAAGTGACTCTAGTATCCAGCCAGGGTTGAGCACCACTGGATTTGAGGCTCACCTGAGATCCTCATCATCTTTTTAGGACTACTAAAATAGTCTAGATTGCCAACTCTCCTCCCATCTGGCTCCTTACCAATCTGTCCTCCACAGCCCTTCCAGGGGAATCTTTCAGGGGAACTGATTTCCAGGGAAACCTATCTGATTCTGTCACTCCTATGATTGTGACCCTTCCCTGACCCTGATGCCTATGCATGCCTTGAGATACAACCTCACGGGGGGCTTCCACCCTCCCATCTCCTCAATATCACCCCCAAGCCTTTTCCTTCCCAGTTTGCCCCATAGCAGTGCCAAAGTAGTCTTTGGTATTCGTAAGGGAAATATCTCAAGACAGTTGTAAACTCCGTATTTTTGAATGTCATAATTTCTTTCCGTATAATGCAGTATATTATAACTAAAAAAATTGTGAATTCCATGACTCTATAAATGCAGAACTAAGGTAATTTAAATAGCAATTACAGTAAATTTTTCGTGAAAATAACCTCCACACAATATTGTATTACATGTCTACAGTAGCATGGACCAAGAACCATGAATGATGTTAATCATTTCTATAGAGTCCACATTTGTACAGAGGTATGATTAAGAAGCCTCCTCCTCACAAAGGCCTATTATCTAAATTCTGAAAAGAAAAAAATATTTCCTAAAATTTACAACCAACTTTTATTTTTCAGCATATGCTATCAAAGCCTTAATGGTACTTTCGCTGTGCTTGGGTTCCTGTAAAGTCAAACACCTGCTAACGCTCCAAGTTAACCACCATTTCATCATTCATTTATTTTATCTCTAAGTGGATGAGCAATTTTTGAATTGGTTCAGGCAGTCATTAAAACAGATTCATGAATCACTTTTACTTATTTCTAAACGGTGGACTTAACATTCAAGCTTTAACAAATAGATACATATCTCTTCTTTGGCATTTATCCAGAACATCTCTTTTCTGTTTAAAACTATCTGTTTCTTGCTCTTTATGGCCACCACTAGCATTGGCATTTAGCACCCTTGCTGTGCCTACTTTTCACAAAATAACAGCCTCATCGTAAAAGTGTTCATGTGTATGTGCTGATAAATACAGAAAAATAAGCCTAGTAGAGATGTGACCCTGGATGGTCAGCTAGCCCCACTCGCTGGTTTAGTGATGTGTTCTGCACACTACCCTTAAAGCATGGGTAAGTCAAATCCAGCCTCAGCAGAATTAATAAAGTGTCATGGACCTCTGGTATCGACACCAGAATTGTACAAAAGCGACCTTGAGATTCTGATATGGATAAATGGAATAGTCCAAAGGCAACCCTGATAACTCTTGTTGGGTTGCCTGGATGATGAGCCAGTCGGGACAATGGATTTTTCCCATGGAAGGTGACGGGGCTGCATCTGAACTCAACTTCCCTTGGGGCTCAAGCTGGCAGCTGGCTTTCCTAAACAACTGCTGTAAACAACTGACATCTAAACCACACTGCCTAGTGCCCAAGCAGCCCTTTTCCTGCCCCCACCACTCCCTTCTCCTCATTGATAAACCTGCCCAATCCCTTGACGAATAAGAAAGCTGAGCAGCTGGTCCCTCCCCTGGAACTACACTCATGACCTGTCCCAGCACTCCCCGCGGAGAGATTAGAGGCAGGCACTCTTCTTGCTGACCTTTACTTTGCAAGTTCCATCAAAAACTCTGTCTTTTACCCATTACCAGCGAGATGAACTTCAAACTGAGGCCTGTTACATGATAGACTTTTAGCACCAGTTGTGAATTCTGGAAACTGAGGATTCAGATTGCCACCTGTTTTTATT